TGGGGAAAAGTGAATGAACGGGGGGAAAAGTGAATGAAAGGGGGAAAAGGGGAATGAAAGGGGGAAAAGTGAATGAAAGGGGGAAAAGGGGAATGAAAGGGGGGAAAAGGGGAATGAAAAAGGGGAAAAGTGAATGAAAGGGGGGAAAAGTGAATGAAAGGGGGAAAAGTGAATGAACGGGGGGAAAGTGAATGAAAGGGGGAAAAGGGGAATGAAAGGGGGAAAAGGGGAATGAAAGGGGAAAAGGGGAATGAAAGGGGGGAAAAGGGGAATGAAAGGGGAGAAAAGGGGAATGAAATAGGGAAAAGTGAATGAAAGGAGGGAAAAGTGAATGAAAGGGGGGAAAAAGTGAATGAAAGGGGGGAAAAGTCAATGAAAGGGGGGAAAAGTCAATGAAAGGGGGGAAAAGTCAATGAAAGGGGGGAAAAGGGAAATGAAAGGGGGAAAAGTGAATGAACGGGGGGAAAAGTGAATGAAAGGCGGAAAAGGGGAATGAAAGGGAGAAAAGGGGAATGAAAGGGGGAAAAGTGAATGAAAGGGGGAAAAGGGGAATGAAAGGGGGAAAAGGGGAATGAAAGGGGGAAAAGGGGAATGAAAGGGGGAAAAGGGGAATGAAAGGGGGGGAAAAGCATCATCGGTGAGGAAGAAGGTGATTGAGGGAGGAAGAAAGTGGCTTGAGGGGGGAAGAAGGGAGATTAAGGGAGGAAGAAGGGGGGTCAGAGGCTGAAGGCAGCGGTGGGGGGGCGTCCATACCAGCACATCGGGGCTGCCCCCCCGCTCCCTGCTCTCCCCTTGCTTGGAGCTGGGCTTCGGCATCATCTTCTTGCTGGCCACGGTGGGCACGAGGCACACTCCGGACAGGCCCTCGCAGGCCAGGAGGCTCGCCTGGGGTGGGGGGGAGAGAGCAGCTCTGCTGCAGACCCCCCCAAACCCCCCCCAGCACCCCCAAACCCCCCACCCCAAAGGTGCCAGCACCACAAACCAAACCCTTTGCCGGGGGCCGCACACGACCGGGCGCTGAAATGGGAAGGGGGGGGGGATAAGAGGGGGGAGAAGAGGGAGGCTCGGGGCCCCCCCCTGCCCCCCCCCCAACCCCACACCCCCCCTTTGGCGGGGAGCTAACGGCTACCGGGAGAGCTCCGACGATCCCTGGAACAACGGGAGAGCGCCGCCGGCTCCGGGAATAGAACCCGGGGTGGGGGGGCGCGGGTGAGTGATGGGTGATGATGATGATGATGGCGCGGGGCTGTGGGACAGTGGGGATCGGAGGGGAGTGGGGGGGTGGGGGTGGGGATTTGGGGGGGGGAAAGCCCCCCCATGGCCATACCTCCTTGGGAGCTTGGTGTGGGGTGGGGGACACGGATTGGGAAGGGGGTGGGTGGGTTTTGGGAGGTGGGGGGGGGGTGTAGATTTGGGGCTCATTACCTGAGCCATCTTGGGGCTGTGTGTCTGTCTGTCTGTCTGTCCTCGACAGAGGGACTGTGACAATTCTTTAGCCTTACGGTGGCCCCGGGAAGGGCCTTTTTAACCCTCCGAGGGGTGGCCTCAGTTAAGGTGTTTTAGGGATGTTTGTGCCGGGCTCATCCAGTACCCGCCACTGCGCCGACATCTCGGCCCCGGTGCCGCCGGCGCGGTGACGAGCGTCTTCCTCGGCCCCCCCAGCAGCAATCACGTACGGTGGCGGGGGGGGGGGGGTGGGGGTGTGGGGGGGTGGGGGGGTGTGGGGGGCAGCAGCTTCCTACTAGACAGGAGGGGACATCGGGGGTGTTGTCACCCCCACAGCCCTCAAGGGCATCACCCCACACACACGCAAGGCCGGGGTGGGAGCTGGGTCCCAGCGCTGCTGCTGCTGCCACCAGTGCGGGTCTTCGCCTGTGGGGAGGGAGGAAATGGGGTTAGGGGGGTATTGGGGGGGGGGTATGGGGGGGTTAGAGATGGGGTTATAGGGGAGTTGGGGGGGTTAAGGAGGGATTTTGGGGGGGCTAGGGAGGGTTTGGGGGGGGGTGGGGGGTTAAAGGAAGGGTTGGGGAGGTTATGGGGGGCTGGGGGAGTTCTGAGTTATTAAAACGGGGGTTGGGGGGGTTATAGAGTGGAGGCTTGGAGGGTTATGGGGGCTATAGGAAAGTTATGGGGGTTATGGGGGAGTGTGTGTGGGTTAGAGGGAGGCTTGGGGGGCTAAATAAGTTATGGGGGGTTATAGGGAGGTTATGGGGGAGTTAGAGTGGAAGTTATAGGGGAGTTGTGGGGGGGTTAAGGAAGGTATTGGGGGGGCCATGGGGGGTTGGGAAGGGTTTGGGGGGCTATGGAAGTTTTAGGGAGGGGATTTGGGGGGTTAAAGGAAGGGCTGGGGGGTTATGGGGAGTTAAAGAAGGGGTTAGGGAGGTTATGGGGGGCTGGGGGAGTTTGAGTTATTAAAAGGGGGGTTGGAGGGTTATAGAGGGGGGGGCTTGGAGGATTATAGGGGCTATAGGAGGGTTATGGGGGGGCTATAATGGGGTTGTGGGGTTCATGGGGGACTGTGTAGGGGTTAGAGGGAGGCTTGGGGTGCTACATCAGTTATGGGAGGTTCCAGGGGAGTTCTGGGGGCTTAGGGAGGGCTTTGAGGGGTTATGGGTGGCTATGGGGGATTAAGGGGGGTTGTGGGGGTTTGGAGCATTAGGAGAGGTTATAGGGGCAGTATGGGGGGGTTTGAAGGGGCTTTGGGGGGGGTTATAGGGGGACCCCCAGGTTTGAATGGGGTGCTGAGCACCAAGTGGATGCCTCACAGGGAGAGGTTGGGTGGTGGGAAAGGGGGGGTGGGGGGCAGATGGGGAGGGCCTGGGGGTGCGAATCAGGTGTGGGAGGGGTGACTTTGGGGGGCGGGGGGGGTCCAACAGGGTGAGGGGGTCCCGGGGTGGGGGAAGGTCACATGATGGGGGGAGGTGAAGGGTCAATAGGGGGGTGGAGGGAGAGCAAGAATCACAACTGGGGGTCACACCGGTGGAGGGGGGGGGGTCACTACGGGGGCAAAGGTGACACCCTCCCCCCTTTCCCCTCCCCCCACATCCCCTCCCCGTCCCGTCCCGGTGGCCGCCGGGTGGGGGCGGGGCCGCCGCGCGCGCGGGAGGGCCCCGCCAACCCCCACCTAGGCCGCGGGCGGGGAGGGGGAGGGGGAAGGGCTCGGTCCGTACCTGCCGCGGCCGCTCCTGCCCCGCTCCTCCCCGCTCCGGCCCCGCTCCGCTCCTCTCCGCCGCCGCGAACGGGTCCAGAACCGGCCCCGCCGCCCCCCCCCCCCCGTCCTCGGCCGCCGCCGCCGACCCGGAACTGGAAACGAGCCCCCCCCTCCTCCTTCTACCCGCCATTCACAGCGCTTCCGGCGCCACGTGCGCATGCGCCGTGGTGCCGCTCAGCTGCGGCGCCATCTTGGCGCCCGGCGGTTGCCATAGCGACGGAGCGGCGGCGCGGCCTGGTCCGGTTCGGCCGCCGGGCAGAGCCTGGGGCTGCAGCACGGAGCGGGGCCGGGCGGTGGCGCTGGGGCCCGGGCTGGGCCCTGCCTCCCTCCCCGTCACCTCCCCGTTCACGTTATTGCCCCCGGGGTGAGGCCCCGCCTGCCCTTGGGGGGGGGGGGGTGTCACCCCACTGTGACTGCCCCATGGCGAACCCCACTCCATTGCACCCCCTCGGGGTCGGTCCCCTCTTTCCTCTGCACCCCCCCCGCCGTTATTACTGCCCCTCCCTGTGGCAGCACGGCTCCCCCTCGGGGGCACTGGGGACAGGCCCCATGGCGGCGCTGCCATGGGGCCGAGGGGTGGCACCACTTGGGCCCCCCCCCCCCCATTCCTTGGATGCGCCTTTAAGAGCCGCTTCTCCCTGTCCCTGGACTTTGTCCCTGTGCGAGGCCGTGTCCCCAGGACGATCCCGGAGCCACCATCCCATCCCGCGGCCGTGATCCCGGGGCTGGGAGAAGGGGGGGGGGGGGTGTGGGGTGACCCATGGTTGAAGAGGCCGGCGCCGGCGCCATGGCCGGGCTGGAGGATCCCGGCTGGGAGGCGGCAGCGGGCGAGGAGTTCCTGCGGGAAGCGCTGCAGGTGCTGCTGGAGGAGGCCGTGAGGAAAGGGACGGATGTGACCGAGAAGGTGAGGGGGAGAAGCGGGAAGGGGAGGGGGGGTGAGGCTCCCGGCCGGGCCCCGCGGCCTTCCCGAGCTCGGGAATTGCGGGGTCCCGCAGGTGTGCGAGTGGCGGGAGCCGCTGGAACTGCGGGAGCTGCTGGATCTGGAGCTGCGGAGCGGCGGGGAGCCCCCGGAGCGGCTGCTGCAGCGCTGCCGGGATGTGGTGCGGTTCAGCGTGAAAACCGGTGCGGGCCCTGGGGCCGGGGGGGAAACAGCGGGAAAGTGGGGGGAAACAGCGGGAAAGTGGGGGGAAACCAGTGGGAAAGTGGGGGGAAACAGCGGGAAACTGGGGGGAAACAGTGGGAAAAAAGGGGGGAAACAGTGGGAAAACGGGTGGGAAACAGTGGGAAATGGGGGGGGAAACAGTGGGAAAGTGGGAGGAAACAGTGGGAAAACGGGGGGGAAACAGCGGGAAATGGGGAGGAAACAGCAGGAAAGTGGGGGGAAACAGCGGAAATGGGGGGGAAACAGTGGGAAAGTGGGAGGAAACAGTGGGAAAACAGGTGGGAAACAGCGGGAAATGGGGGGAAAACAGCAGGAAAGTGGGGGGAAACAGCAGAAATGGGGGGAAACCAGCGGGAAAGTGGGGGGAAACAGTGGGAAAGTGGGGGGGGGGAACAGCGGGAAATGGGGGGGAAACAGGGGGAAATGGGGAGGGGAACAGCGAGAAATGGGGGGGAACAGCGGGAAATGGGGGGAAACAGCGGAAATGGGGGGGAACAGCGGGAAATGGGGGGGAAACAGGGGGGGAAAACACCGGGAAAGTGGGGGGAAAACAGCGGGAAATGGGGGGGAAACAGCGGGAAATGGGGGGAAACAGCGGGAAATGGGGGGGAAACAGCGGGAAAGTGGGGGGAAAACAGCGGGAAATGGGGGGGAAACAGCGGGAAATGGGGGGAACAGCGGGAAATGGGAGGGAACAGCAGGAAAGTGGGGGGAAAACATCAGGAAAGTGAGGGGGAACAGCGGGAAAGTGGGGGGGAAAACAGCGGGAAATGGGGGAAACAGCGGGAAATGGGGGGGAAACAGCAGGAAATGGGGGGAACAGTGGGAAATGGGGGGGAAACAGCGGGAAATGGGGGGAACAGCTGGAAAATGGGGGAAAAAGCGCAAAATGGGGTGGAAACGGGGGGAAAGCAGTGGGAAAACAGGGGGGAAACTGTACTTCCAGTGCAGCCCCAGCGCTCCCAGTGTGAACCCAGTGCTCCCATTGCAAACCCTGTGCTCCCAGTATGAGCTCAGTGCAGCTTTGAGTGCCTCCAGTGTGAAATCAGTGCTCCCAGTGTGAACCCAGCACTCCCAGTGTGAAACCAGTGCGGTCTTAAACTGCTCCCAGTGTGAACTCAGTGCTCCCCGTGTGAGCTCAGTGCAGCTTTGACTGCTCCCAGCGTGAACTCAGTGCTCCCAGTGCAGCCTTAACTGGTCCCAATGTGAACCCAGTGCTCCCAGTGCACCCAGTTCAGCCCCAGTGTTCCCAGTGCAGCCTTGATTGGTCGCAGTGCTGCCGCAGTGCAGCCTCGGCACTCGCAGCTCCGTTTGTCCTCACGGGTCCAGGTTCAGCCTTAACTGCCCCCAGTTCAGCCTCAGATGCCCCCAGTGCAGCCCCATCTGGCCCCCAGTGCAGCCCCATCTGGCCCCCAGTTTAAGCTCCGTGGCTCCAGGTTCAACGCTTCCACTCCCCACAGCTCTATGGGTCACACGGGGCGTCCATGGGTCAGTGGGCAGGTCCATGGGTAAGGGGGGGTCCCGGGGTCCCTCCTGTCACGGTGCCCCCCCCGCAGGTCACCCCCGGTTCTTCAATCAGCTGTTCTCGGGGCTGGACCCACATGCACTGGCCGGGCGGTTGCTCACCGAGGCGCTCAACACCAGCCAGTGCGGGGGGGGGGGGGGCATCATCACCATGGGGGGGGTGGGCCCCACATCCTCATTGGGAGGTCCCCATTGTCCTCATTGGGGCGGTCCCCAAATCCCCTTGAGGGGGTCCTCATCCTCCCCATGGAGGGGTCCCCATTATCTCCATCATCCCCATCAGGGGGGGATATCCGTTGTTTCCATGGGGGGTTCCCCACATCCCCATGGAGGGGGGCTCCATCATCCCCATGGTGGGGGGTTCTCATCCTCACTGGGGACACATCCCCCATTGTCCACATTGCGGGGCTGCCCACATCCCCATGGTGGTGGGGGCATCATCCCCATAGAGGGGTTCCCCACATCCCCAGTGGGGAGGGTCCCACTTTCCTTATGGGGCCGCCACATCCCCATCGTTGGGGTTCCCCATCGGGAGGGTACCCTCTCTCACCCCTATGGGGGGCTCCCCCCACTGGGAGCGTCCCCAAGAGGGGCTGTGTGTGTGTGTGCCCCCCCCCAGGTACACGTTCGAGGTGGCACCGGTGTTCGTGCTCATGGAAGGGGTGGTCCTGGCCAAGCTCCGGGAGCTCGTGGGCTGGAGCAGCGGCGACGGCATCTTCGCTCCTGGTACCGGCACCGGCACCACACAGGGGGGTGTCCCTGTGCTCCCCCCCTCCCCGGGATAACACCAATCCTCATCCCCCGGCAGGAGGCTCCATGTGCAACATGTATGCCATGAACGTGGCGCGGTTCCAGCGCTTCCCGGAATGCCGGAGCCTTGGAATGATGGCGCTGCCGCGCCTGGCGCTCTTCACCTCCTGCGACGTGCGGGCACCCGCGGCACAACCGTCCCGTTGGCCCCATGGCGGGAGGGGGAGGCGCATCTCCATCTGCGGGGGTCTCCATCATTCCGATTGTCCCCATCTGGGGGGTTTCCCATCATCCACATGAGGGACACCCCATCATCCCCTTGGGGGGGTCCCATCATCCCCAGGGCGGGCCTATGGAGCATCCCCATCGGGGGGTGTTCCATTGTCTCCATTTGGGGGGTCCACATCACCACCGCAGGGGGGGAAGCAGATATCGTCCCCATCAAGGGGTGCCCCATCGTCTCCATCGGGGGGGGGGTCCCCACCATCCACAGGGATTTGACCCCCCCCTCTCCCTGCTCAGAGCCATTACTCCATCCAGAAGGGAGCCGCATTCCTGGGCATCGGCACTGACAACGTGCGCCTGGTGGCCACCGACGAGAGGTGCGAGCCGGGCTGATCCCGGTGGATCTGCGGCTCCGCTGCCCCGGCTCTGCTCCCACCATGGGTCTGTTCCCATCCCGCAGGGGGAAGATGATCCCTGAGGAGCTGGAGAAGGAGATCCAGAAGGCCAAAGCCGAGGTGAAGGAGTGGCAGCCTGGATGTCCCCCTGCTCCATCCCAACGTCCCCTGTCCCATCCTGATGTCCCCTGTGCTGTTCCAGCATCCCCTGCCCCACCTCAAAATCCACCACCCCATCCATCCTGACACCCCCTGTCCCATCCCGGTGTCCTGCAGGGTGCGGAGCCGTTCCTGGTGTGTGCCACATGCGGCACGACGGTGTTGGGTGCCTTCGACCCTCTGGGCGCCATCGCGGATGTGTGCGAGCGCCATGGCCTCTGGCTCCATGTGGATGTGAGCACCGGGAAGGGGGGGGACACACATGAATCCCTTTGGAATCCCCCTGTTCCCAGCGCTGATCCCTATCCGTGTCCCTGCCCACAGGCAGCGTGGGGTGGCAGCGCTCTGCTCTCCAGCAAGCACCGGCACCTCCTGGCTGGCATCGAGAGGTCAGCGCCGCTCCCGGCTCCCAGCACCCCACAATCCCAAGATCCCAACTGGGGGGGACCCCCTCTTCCCACAGGGCCCACTCCGTGACCTGGAACCCGCACAAGATGCTGACAGTGGGGCTGCAGTGCTCGGCATTCCTGCTCCGCGACACCTCCGTGCGTGCCACCTCCCCTTCTCCTCCTCTCCCACCACTGTGCCCTGCCCCATCCTGATGTCCCATCCCAATGTCTTCTGCCCCATCCTGATGCCCCATCCTGATGCTTGATCTCGACACCCCATCCTGCTGCCCCATCCCACGTCCCATTCACACATCCTGCTGCCCTATCCCCACTCCCCCATCCCATATTGCATCCTCTACCCCATTCCATGTCCCATCCCCAATCCCAATGTCCCATCTTCTACCCCATCCCATGCCCCATCCTCTGCCCTGTCCCTTGTCCCATCCCCACATCCTGCTGCCCCATCTTCCTGCCCTGTCCTCTATCCCATGTCGCATCCCATATCCCATTCCCTGCCCCATCCCACAAAACGGGGGTGTTGCCCCCAGATCCCCCCTAGTTGCTAGTTTCGGGGTGACCCCTGTGCCCCCCCACAGGGTCTCCTGCAGCGCTGCCATGGCTCCGGAGCCACGTACCTCTTCCAACGGGATAAGTTCTACGACATGTCCTACGACACCGGGGACAAGACCCCGCAGTGTGGCCGGCGCGTGGACTGCCTCAAGCTCTGGCTGCTCTGGAAAGCCATCGGCACCCAGGGGCTGGCCCAGCGTGTGGAGCGAGCCTTTGCCTGCACCCGGTGGGTGCCCGGGGCTGGGAATGGGGGCACACAGCCCATGGCCCCTCTGCTCCTTTGACCTCCTGTTCTGCATCATCCCAGGTACCTGGCAGAGGAGGTGAAGAGGAGGGATGGCTTCGAGCTTGTGATGGAGGTACGGAGCCACAGCAAGGGGAGTTTAATGTGTGTAGCCCCACACATCACCCCACCATGGCCCTGTCAGGGGGCTTCATATGACCCCCCCATATACCACCATGCCATGGCCCTAGGGTGGGTTTAATGTGTCCCCCCATTTAATACCCTCCAGCCATAGCCAAGGGAGTGGTTTTAAACCATTCCCCATTTAACACGACCTATCCAAGGCCCCGGGATGGGTTTTAATGTGCCCCCCGTATAGTGTTGTAGCTCCAAGAGTGGTTTTTAATGCCCCCTTGTACAGCATCACCGAGTGCTGGGCAGCAGAAGAGACCTGTCCCAAGCATAGGGGTCCCCACATGGGCCTGGGGGTGGGAAATGTTGTGTCCCCCCCGTGTGTCCATGTGATCTCTTCCCTTTTCCTCTTCCCCCTACCCCCTGCAGCCGGAGTTCATCAATCTCTGCTTCTGGTTTGTGCCCCCCAGCCTGCGGGGCCGTGAGAGCTGCCCCGACTACTGGCCCAGCCTGGGCAAGGTGGGAGCTGGATCCACCGGGATCCTTGGGGGGGGGGGGGGGTGATCCCAAACCCCCTCCACCCCCCCAACCCCTCTGTGCGTGTCCCCCCCCCCTCCGCAGGTGGCCCCTGCCATCAAGGAGAGGATGATGAGGAAGGGCTCCATGATGGTGGGGTACCAGCCCCATGGCACCCGCGTCAACTTCTTCCGCCAGATCGTCACCAGCCCCGCGGTCACCAGGGCAGACCTGGACTTCTTCCTGGATGAGATCGAGAGGTTGGGATGGGACCTGTGAGCCTCCCCCCACAGACCCCCCCCATCCCTGAGGAACAAGAGCAGAGCTCCACATCCCCCCTTCTCATCCATCCTACCTCCAATCCGGGTTAAAGACACTCCAAAACCTACCAGGATGGGGGGAATAAAACCATTTACTGATCCATTTTGGGGGTGCCCCCCCCCCCCCCCCAGGAAAGGAAGGGGAGGACTCATTCATCAGTCCTGGAGCAGGTCAAACATGTTGGGGTCCATGCTGGTGGGGTGCAGGAAGATGCAGTCGGGGGGACATGGCTTTGGCCTCGTGGCACAGGCTCCATGTGCGCAGCATCTTGAAGCTCTGGAGCATGATGCTGTGGGGATGGTCCTCCTGGATCTGCTCCAGGCGGTTCTTCTCCAGCTTCAGGCACATGATCCCAGCCTCCTGCCATTGCCTCCCAAATCCGCATAGGATCCCTCTCTGTTAAGCGACGAGGAGGTGGTGGTGCGATGGGGTGACATCGGGATGCAGCAGGAGCACCCATGAGCTTCTCCTCCTCCATCCCAACGGTGTCATCCTCATCCCGGAAGCGCTGGAGCAGGATGGAGGCCTCCTCCCTGGGCCCTCTCACAGCCCCTCATCCGGTGCACAAGGAATGCAATGCAGCCTTGAAGCCAAAGGAGACAAGAAGCAGGATTTAGCCACACGTGTGCCCAGTTACAGGATGGAGCATGCTCTGGAGCTCTGGACCGCTCCCTGAGACACCTCAGTGGTCACGGAGCCACTCCGGTCGCTCCAGCAGGGAATGGGCAATTGCCTGCTTCCTGGAGCAAGGAGCAGTGGCAAAGGCTGCCAAAAGTGAGGAGCAGGTCACAGACCAAAGAGAGGAGATGAGCGGCAGCCTGCAGCCATGGGGGTGTAGCATGGGGCAGGTAAGGGGGTGAGGAGGGAAAGATGGGGACAGGGAACCTGACAGCAAGAAAGAAGCAGCAGAAGTAAGGAGAGGCAGGGCTGAACAACAAGAATAAGGACAGGAAGGAGGATGGAAATGCAGGAAACCAGGAGCAACGAGAGGAAAACAGAGGCTGGAGTGAGGACAGAACCCGACTGACAGAAAACAGCGACAGGGAGCAGAGCGAGCCAAAACAGGACAGCAACAGAAAGAGATGGATGCGTATGAGGCCAAGGAGCTGGGAAAAGGAGAACCAGCGATGGACAAAAGAGGGAGAGGGCGCAGGACACACAAGAAGAGGACGAGTACAGGGGAGCAAAGCACAGGAGAGGAATGGACAGGGAGAGGGCAGGACACGCAAGGAGCACCAGGGTCCAACAGCTCAGGACTCACCGCAGCTCTCGCCACTGATGAGTGAGTTGACAGCTCCGATGCTTCTTTGCCCTCCCCTCCTCTTGCACGGCTCACGGAGCTGTTCCCCACCTACGAGAGCACACGGTGGCGGGGGCTCAAAGCCCAACGCACGCAGCACGGCCGTACCGTGGCCTGCTTTGAGCCGTGGAGGGGAACCTTCCACACCCAGGTTCTCTCTTAGCACGGTGCCTTCCCTTTCTTCTTCTTCCCCCCTCTTCGGCCTCTCCGCCTTCAGCTCCAACCCGTCCACAGCCACCGAGCGTGTGCCCACACAAACCTGCTGCAGGCGCAGTCAGCAGCACCCCCCCGGCTCCCCAACGCCGGCAGCCAGCGGGCAGGGGATCTCCCCCTGCTCCCGCCGAACGGGCTCGCTCGCCCCCGGTACCGGGACCCTCGCCCTGCGCGCCGCCATCGCTGCTCCGCATGCCGACGGCGCGCCGGAGAGGCCGAAACGCCGCACGGAGAACACCGAGCCCCGGCCCGTAGCACTCGGGAACGCCCGGCGGAGCGGCGGCGGCGTTTCCTTACCGGGATAGAGCAGCGAGCGAGCGGCACAAGGCAGCAGGAACGCACCGGGGAACAGCAGCGGGGAATATAACAGCGCCATCGCAGATGGGTAGAGCCAGGGCTGCAGTACTGCCCTCTGACCACGGGATGGCAGCAGCAAACGGCGCTCAGCGCCACCAGCGCCTGCAGTACCGAGGTTTGGCCACACGATGGCAGCACCCGCTCGCTTACCCGGTACCGCGGAGGCTCCGCGGCCCCGTTCACACCCTCCGGGGGCAGCAGCTCCTTTGCCGTGGGGACCGGGCTGGCGCTTCCCGGCCCCTTTCTCGTATCCCGGCTCCAACAGTCGCTGCCTCCGCACCGGAACCCATCCCAGGCCTTTGCCTCTGGTGGCAGAACAAAGGTGGGGCTGTTCCGGGCCTGATCCCCAAGCACAGAGGCACGTCCATGGTCAAGATGCTGCCGAGCCAATGACCGTCACTGGCGGTTCCAGTTGTGCTCTGGACCAGGGTGAAGCTCTGCAGCCCCTGCCACTGCTGCCACAGTGCCACCAGCATGGCAATCCACCCTCGCTTTGCCACCTGTAACTCCAGAGAGGCACTATGCAGATGGAGGTTCAGGTTCTGGTGTGGTATGTCTGCCTTCCTTTAGCTGGTTTATTCCCTTAGGGGGTTGACTTATGTTGTCACCAAGAGGACATTTCCACTGTGCTCCTGCAGGAGGGATGGGGCTAAGAACCATGAAAACCCACCCAGAGACCCCAGAAAAGCCTCAGAGCAGTCCCAAACCACCCTGGAGACCCTGCAATGAGTCCCCTGCGCTTGCTGCAGTGCCAAGGGGGTGGCCCCATGGCAAAAACCAAAGCCCAGAGCAGTCAAGATGAAGGAAAAGCTTCGGATCCAAACGTAGCCCCATAGGCACCGAGGCAGGGCCTCCACTGGCATCACTGTTGCTGGACCCCCAGGAGGTTCCTTCCTGCAACCCCTTCAATGGGCATCCCTGTGTGGTTGGATCCCCAGCCCCAAGGCAGGGCAGGAGGAGATCTTGGTCCCAGGGTGAGGGTTAGAGGGAGAGTGGGGGCCGCACAGAGCTCCTGGTGCAGGGGTCCAGCTCGGAGCCCATTTGCAGGGGTAAAGAAGCACACGGCTCACACTGCCCTGAGAAAGGGTTTAATGGGGAGGGGAGGCACTGCTGCCCCTGTCAAAGGGCTGGGGGGATGCTGCGGAGGACACACACGTAGGCACACTATGTACAGAGCCACACAGGTAACCCCAGCTCCCTGCCGCCATCCCTGTGCTGGGGATGAGCAGGTCGAGGGGAGAGGCACGGGCTTGCCAAGCAAGGAACGACCCCGGTCCTGGCAAAGACTGGGCTATGAGGAGTGGACAATGGGAACACGGGGACGGCGCCTGCCCCCACGGCTGGGAAGGGTGGAACTCTTTGGTTTCGACATTAAGACTGCACAGGGCCACCGCTTCCAAAGGGCCAAGGGAGCCCCAGCAAGGTTCCAGGCACTGGGAATGGAAGCGCTCGGTGAAACCATTCCCTCCCCAGTGCAAGACGTGGCCTGAAGCACCCGACCGGGGCTGGGGCCGGGGCTGGGCCTCAGCAATGTCCCCCCCTCCCCACACATCCGCATGCCAGAAGGGCCCAAACGTGTTTGGTGCCCCCCCCATCCCCTGCGGTGCAGACGGGCCCACCTGATGCCCGGTACCTCCTGCTTAAGACAGGGAGTTGAGGAAATGGCTTTCCCCTGCCAGGGTGCTCAGCATGGAGCTCATGTCCCCCACAGCCATGTTGGCACCCCCGGATGCAGGCAGCAGAGCCCCAGCAGGGCTCGGGGGCCCCGGCAGCAGCGCGGGCAGCTCCGGTTCTTCCACGATGGCAGCAAAGTCAAGGTGCGTGTTCTCCAGGTCCAAGGAGTCCAAGCTGTTGGCCACTTGCTCCCCCGAATCCAGGTAGTGACACGAGCTGCCTTTGAGCCCCTCCATGCTCCCCCCATAATGCCCAGGAGCCCCACAGCTTGCTGCCGTTTGGCCCAGCAGTTTATGCCCACCTTTGCCCATGTGTGTGCCCTGGGCTGGGTAATAATGCAGGGCGTTATTGGGCCCCTCAAGTGTGGGGCGGGCAGGGAGCAGGCGATGCACGCGCCGGGAGCTGGCTTCCATTGCCTCATAGGAATGGCTTGGCTGGGGCAGGTGCCCTGCGTAGTTCAGGTTGTTCGGGTGCCCTTGGGGTTTAGGGCCGCCGGGCGGATGCGGCCCCAGCTCAGGGTTGAAGCATGGGGCATGAAGGAGGTGCTGGGTCTCTGGCAGAGCCTGCGGGTTCTCCGCTTTGGGTTGGTAACCGGGGCACTGCACGGCGTGGCACTGCCCGGGCTCGGTGCCCAGGCGCAGCGCAGCCTCCCCTCCCTTGGGGACTGCTTGGGCTCCCCACATCAGAGCCTGCTGGGCCTGCACGTAGCTCCGGACCATCACCTCCTTGCTCTGCATGGTGGGGGTCTGGTCTCTTCTCCCGCTCGGGCTCAGCATGCCCATGTAACCCATGGGCGCCTGCTCCTCAGGCTGGAAACCTCCGTGCCCTGCGTTCACAGCTTGGCCGAAGGATGCCGGAGGCTGCAGGTGCCCAGCGAGTTTGGGGTTCTGGCAGGGAGCAAGCGCTGGGGTAGGGGCTGGGTACCGCTGCTCTGATTTGATGTGCGGTCGGTTGAGCCGGTGCCCCCCGGGGTACCCGTTGTCCTGGCACGAGCTCACAAGCCTGGGCTGCTGCCCGCAAGCGCCGGGCAGTTGGTACTCGGTGCTCTGATGGTGAAAGGGTGACCCAGCCATGGCACTGACCCCGGGCTGCCCGGAGCTCATCTCCACGTTGCTTTGGGGATGCTCATCCCACGGCGCAGGCACGGCCCCGGCGCCAGCGTGCAGCGTGGTGAAGTGCTGGTTCAGCTGGCACTGCGGGAGGCAGAACTCGGGCTGCAGTAAACCCTCCTCCATGTCCCTGGGGCCTCCTGGGTTCAGCTGCAGGCACGCCGCGGGCCGGTGGCTGCTGCCATAGGGAGCTTCACACTGGAGCTCCGCGCCCGCCCTATGGCACGGGAAGCTTTCCTCGGCATACTCCAAGTACTGCTCCAGCCCTGCCAAGGCAGGCTCCGGGCCTGGGCTCTCCAGGAAGACGTGCTCAGCGAAGCCTCGGCGCTGCAGGCTGCCATCGGGGCCACCCAAGGGCTGCAGAGCGGCTCTGCCGGCGCCCGGCGCGTTGACGTTGCCCACGCTCTTGAAGCGATGCACCCTGGGCGCAGCGGGAGCGTTGGCCGC